ATGCAGTCTGTTGTTGACTGAAACGTCATTATGTGGCACATGACTGTACTGGTCTCATAAAATGAATTGGAAAGTGTTCCCTCTTCTGGGGGAAAGAAGAGAAAGTGTTTTCTTCTGGAAGAGACTGTATAAAATTGGTGTTAATTCTTCTTTAAATATCTGCTAGAATTTTCCAGTAAAATCATCTAGGCCTGGAGAATTCTTTCTCAAGAGCTTTGAAATTACAAAATAAATTTCTTTAATGATTATAGGACTATTCAGATTGTCTATTTCATTGTAGTTGGGTGTTGGTAGTTTGTAGTTATCAAGGATTTGATCTCTAAGTTTTCAAATTTATGAGTGTCAAGTTTTTTGCAGTATTCCCTTATTATCTTTTTAATGTCTGCAGGATTTGTAGTGATATCCTTTATTTCATTCTTGATATTGTGATTTGTGTCTTCTTTTTATTGATTGTTTTGAAGAATCAGCTTTCTGTTTTATTTATAGTCTCATTATTTTTCTATTTTCAATTTCACTGATTTCTGCTCTTTCCTTTATTATTTCCTTCTTCTCCTTGACTTGGTTTTATTTTGCTCTTCTTTATCTAGTTTCTTGAGGTCGGAATTTATATTAGTGATTTGAGACCTTTCCTCATTTCTAATGTAGACAGTTAATGCTATAAATTTCCCTCAGCACTTCTTTAGCTGTATCCCAAATATTTTGATGTTTTGGTTTTTGTTTTCATTTAGTTATACGAACTTTTTCCTTTGAAATGTCCTTTATGATCCATGGATTATTTAAAAATGTATTGCCTAATTCCCACACGTTTAGAGATTTTCTCATTGTTGTTCTGTTCTTTGTTTCTAGTGTGATGCCACTGTAGTCAGAGAAAACACACTTTATGGTTTCAATTATTTTAAATTTGTTGAGGTTTGTTTTATGGCCCAGCATATGATCTATATTGGTGAAGGTTTAAATGTGTATCCTGCTGTTGTTGGGTAGAGCATTTTATAAATGCCAATTAGATCCGACTGGTTGATTGTGTTGGTCAGATCTTCTGTATTCTAGCTGATTTTTTGTCTAGTAGTTCTATCAGTGCTGAGAAGTGAGTGTTGAAGTCTCCAACTATAATTGTGATTTTTCTATTTCTCCCTTCAACTCTCTCAGTTTTTACTTCATGTATTTTGAGGCTACATTATTTGGGTCATACACATTCAGGATCATTATGTTTTCCTGGAGGATTGATCCTTTCATCATTATGTAATGTTCCTCTTTTTTAATAGTAATTTTCTTTGTTCTGAAGTCTACATTAGCAGATATTAATATAGCCACTCTTTCTTGAGTTAATGTTTGTAAGGTGTATCTTTTTCCATCCTGTTACTTCCACTCTACCTATGTTATTAATTTTGAAGTAAGTTTCTTGTAAGCAGCACATAGTTGGGTCACATTTTTTTAATCCTCTCTGCAAATTTCTCTTTTAATTGGTATATTTAAACTGTTTCAATTTAAAGTAATTAGTGGCATGTTAGCAGTTATGTCTACCATTTTCTTATTGGTTTTCTATTTGATTCCTCTGGTTCTCATTGCTCTGCTTCTCTTTTCTTGCCTTCTTGCAGGTTACTTGATCAAGTTTTAACATTGGATCTTGATTTATTTACAGTGTTTTTGAATATATCTTTTGCTTGGGTTTCATAATGGTTGCTCTATAATACTCATATGTGACTTATAAAAATCTACTGGCATCAATATTTTACCACTTGGTTACCACTTTGGTTCAATTGTCAAATATAGTTTAGAAATCTCCTGGGGTTAAGGAAAGTCTATTGTATATTCCCAATTTCTGCTCTTTCTGTTGTTCCTTTTCCCTTCCTGATCCTCCAATATTGCTTTTATCATTTCCCTTCTGTTCGAAAAACTTCATTTAGCTAGTCTTTAACACTAGGCGTGCTAGTGGAAAATTCTTATAGTTTTCCTTGATCTGAGAACGTTTTTATTTCCCCATCACTCCTGAAGAGTAATTTTACCACATACAGTGCACACAGTTCTTTTCTTTGAGCACTTGAAAAATATTATGCCACTTCCTCCTGGCCTTCATGGTTTCAGATGAGAAATATGTTGTCATTCAAATTGGTGTTCCCCTATAGATACTGTGTTTCTCTCTAGCTGACTTCAAGATTTTCTTCTTTGTCTTTAGTTTTCAATAGTTTAATTATGATGTGCTATGAGATGGAGTTCTTGGGGTTTACTCTGTTTGGGGTTAGCTCAGCTTCTTGGATCTGAAGCTTTATCTTTCACCAAATACTGGAAGCTTTCAGCCATTATTTCTTCCAATACTCCTTCAGCCCCACTCTCTTTCTCCTCTTCTTTTGAGGCCTCAAGGATAACAAATGTTGGATCTTTTGCTATTTTTCCACAGGTCCCTGAAGCTCTTTCCATTTTCTCTCTGTTTCAGAGTGGGTGAATTCTGTTGTGCCGTCTCCAGGTACACTGATTCTATCCTGTCATCTCCACTCAACCAGATCGAGCCCATCCAGCATGACTTTTATTTCTGCTGTTTTATCTTTCGCTTCGCTAGTTTCATTTTGTCCTGTTTATAAAACTTCTATTTCATGGCTATTTTCTATTTTTTTTCTTTTGTTTCAAGAGAAGCTGTAAATGATTAGTGAGGAGGCATTTTTATAATGGCTGTTTCAAAATCCACGTCAAATAATTCTTACATCTGATTTATCTGAGTGTCGGTTCAGTTAATTGTTTTCTTCTCTTTCAAGTTGTGATTTTCTTGGTTCTTGGTAAAACAAGTGACTTTTTATTGTATCCTGGACATTTTGTCTATTATGTTAGGAGACTCTGGGTCCTATTTAAAGCTTTTATTTTAGCAAGCAGTTACCTTGTTTGGGTTTAGCCTGCAATTATTGGCCTACTTTCGTGAGGTGTGGTTCCAGTAGCAGTTTTATATTCAGAGACTTTGTGGTATTATTTTTGTCGGTGTGGTTTATCTGGAGCTGCTGGGGCTCCTACTGGCCCCAGCTTCTGCTACCTGAGGGAGTGGAAGTGGTTTCTTAAGGTCAGAGCACCAAGTATCCTTTGGTGGGGCAGGGTGTTGTGGTTTCCCCTACCTGTGCTCTCTATCCACCATAGTGTCTCTGGGTGAGGGAAGAGAGGTGTCAGCACACAGGTCTAAAGAGGCTTCCTGCACCAGGAAGCTTGCTGTGACTGGGTCCCTTCCTGCTCTGCCTTCTTGCCCCAGTGTCTCAGGGTTGGGGAGGACAGCCTCAGCTCACAAGGACAAAGAGGCTTCCCAGGCTAGGCCAGATTTCTTTTTTAATATGGCTGACAACAAGAGAATTTAAGCAATTTGTTTGAAATCATACCAAATATTTATGGCAGAGTGAGGATTTAAACTTAGGTCTCCAGCAATAAGCCTGGGGCTCTGTTTATTAAATAAATAGTATCTGAAGCAACGTATAATTAATTGGTAAAAGATTAACTTACAGTCTGTTTTCCTAACTTAACTAGAATGGGGATCAATACATTTTAGACAGTTTTTAAAGAGATACTGATATGAAGAGTTTGCCACCTAACTTGCTTAATATTCTAGTAAATAGAAAAATCAATTAGCACAAAGATTTTGCCAAGAATTTCAGCTGACTGATAGAGAGATGCAGTTTTACAAAGAACATCATTTAAACCCTGTATTACTTTGAGCAACAAATTAACAGAATCCTCAGAACTTCAGTTTCTTCCTCTGTAAAATGAGATAATACCTATACTTCAGAAAGATAACATATGTATTTCCCTGACATACAAGATGCTCAATAAATGGTAGTTACTGTTTGCAACAGCAAAACAATATCCATCCTATAGAGTAAAAAATCTAAAACTTCTTAATACTTACAGCCTGATTTATTTTGTGTTAGTCTTGGCTTTGTTTGGCCCTCCATTATTGTATATTCTTTGGTCACAAGAATTTGTAGTGCTTTCTCTAAGCTGTGTTGAACCCAACAGAAATTACATACTGAGCCAATCTCTCCACCACAACCCACTCTTACATCAAATCAGTTTAAAATGAACATCATGTTCATTTTATAAAGTCTTATAAAGGAAAATAAAGGGCCTGCTCGGTGGCACAGCGGTAAAGCGCACACACTCTGCTTTGGCGGCCCAGGATTCACAGGTTCAGATCCCGGGTGCACACAGACACATCGCTTGTGAAGCCATGCTATGGCTTGGCTCGGCTTTATATGGTGGTCCCATATAAAGTAGAGGAAGATGGGCACAGATGTTAGCCCGGGGCCAGTCTTCCTCAGCAAAAAGGGGAGGATTGGCAACAGATGTTAGCTCTGGGCTAATCTTCCTCACACACACAAAAAAAATAATAAATAAAAATAAAAAGGAAAATAAGTTTTATAAGATCATTGTGCAGAGGTGGGGAGGGCCATCTGTACTGCTCTGCCTTTGTGATTGGGAAAGAGAACTGCACGCTTCTGATTTACATGCATATGGGACTAGGAAGTATTTTTGTTAATTATGTTCTACCAATACATTTAAATATGTATAAACATAAAACCATTTACAATGCTGACAAAACTATAAAATCAATTTAAAAATTAAACAAAATCTTCAAAACCAAAAACATTAAAACCAATAATGTTTGTTAATTGAATGGGACACATGTTGTTCACTGAACTTGACTCCATATTTGCTGTGAAAATATGGAGTCTGTCTACTACAGAACACAGCTCTTTAAGAGGTGAACATGCCTTTTACATGAAGGGGAACATGAGATACGAGAGCTGCTTCTTTCTTTCTCATCTCTTCCCCAGATAACCACATGGCCCAGGACAGCATGGAGTCCTGGCAGGAGCAGGACACAGAGGCTGCATCTGCTTATTCCCACTGATTTTGAACAGAAGATTTAAAACTAAGGATCAAGTATAGAGTCGGGGTCATCATTTGGTAGAAACAGCCTTCCACTGTGGGGGGGTTGGGGTGGAGACAGTTTCAAATCTGGATTCACCTACCTTTGCCCAGATGGCAGCTGACAGTCCAAGAACAGGACTGACGGCCAAAATCACAAGGGTTAGCTTCCAACCACGTGTAAATCCTACTATAAAACCGGTGAGAAACGTTGCTATTGACTGAAAGAACATTCCAATTTTGTCACCAATTCCTTCATTAATTTTGGAGACATCACTAAAAGAACAGATAGTGTTAGACATAAACATCAGAATTGTGAACACAGAACTTTTCTCCTGAATCTAGTTGTTTTTGACTTGTTTGTTTTAGCCTGAGGTAAATTAGTTAAGATCTAAGGCTCTTGCTGGGAAATATCCCCAGAAAGCATCATGTTGTTGCTCTACTGCACACTCTCCGAGGATTTCTTGAGTCTGGCAAGTCCAATCCCTCATTCGGGGCTAGTCACGCAGGTCCCCTCATGCCCTGCTAGAGTAATGGTGACAAAAAGATGCATAAGACATGGTTGCTGCTCAGAAGGACTTTAGTCTCATAAGTACTTCTGAGTGATGCACTAGCCTCCTAACAGATCTGATGACATCTCTTTCATTTTAATAAGAATAATAACCATGTCTGAGTTAAAGATACAACTGGGTACTTACTCTGTGAGCCGGGTGTTAAGCTCCCCAACATCATGCACGTCAAACCAGCCTATCTCCTGTTGCATTATAGCATGAAAAAACTGTTTTCTAATCTTGTGTATTTGTCTTCCAGCTGCCAGGCACCAGAATGAAACCTGAATGTAGGCAGCAACAAGCACACCAGCACCGATTCCAGTGTAATAATAGGCATACCTGAAAAACAACAAGAATACTGCACATACTCTGTTTTCTAATCAATGCCTCTTTCCCAAAAAGACCACTGAGTCTTACTTTTTTAGTTATCTAGCTATCTTACCATCCTTAACAGATAATAAGGGGTTGTAACAAGCAGAGTTGATGGTCGGCATCCAGCTATGTCTGCACAAGTATAGTGTGGAATGGTTAAGAGTGTGGTTTCTGCTTTGGCTCAAATCCCAGCTCTTAACTGCTGTGTGTAATCTTGGGCAAGCTGCTTAACCTTTCTAAGCCTCAGTTTTCTAATTGGTGAGATGGAGATAAGAATAGTAACGCAATAATGCATGTAATACACTTGAGCCAATGCCCGACACATAGTAAGCACTCAGAGAATGCCAGTTATTGTGAAAGACTTGTGTGGCGCCTTGGAGCATCACAGCATCAGGTAAGATCTACCATTGTAGTCCTGCCTACCTGGATTACCTCAATATCAGCTGATGAGCACTTTGGGGTGGTTTCTGCACACTGGGGAATGGAAAGAAGTGACAGAACTTCCCAGAAAGTGGAACCAAGAGATGGAAATAGTCCCCTGGCCTTCTGGGCTATTAATCTGGCAGAATGTGGATGCCAAGAGCAACTGAAAATGAAAAGTATTTTTATATTGTCTGTGTAACTGCCCATCGTGAGTTATCCTAAAATATTTAATGAATCAAAAAGTAGTCCTTTCAGTTTAAACTCTAACAAAAAATGAACATCTTCTAAAACTAGACCCTTGATCATCTAGAAATGTTGAATTTGTTTCCTCAATTTGAGTCTTCATATTTAAGAAAGCAAACATCTCTTGGGTTTTACTAAGTAATTAATTTTTAAGTTAAAGACAAACATTTTAAAATGAAATATGATATCAATATTCCCATTTTTAAAAGTTTACTACTTGCCATTTTCAAATAAAAATGTACGAACCACAGAGAAGCTATAAAAATGGCTACGTAATAAGCAGATAGTTGCTGATGTTACTGTTCACAACTCAGTGTTCAACCCAGCAGGAATCTTGTTAAACATATCTTCCCCGAGCTACACCTTGTAATTTACAATGTATTTGTCAAGGAAGATGTAATTAGAATACTAAATTTTAGTTAATAGATAACTCAATAATTAATCATTATCCACGTGTTACTGATGTAGCAACAGATAGCTAAAAAGAAACACCGTTTAACAAGGACAACTCATGCTTTGAGAATCAGTGAATGTATTTTAAACTATCAGTCAATGTTTACTCAAACAAAATATATTTATATTTAAGCATTTATAAGACAATTACAAGATATTGTGTTTTATTTTCCCTAATAGAAAAAAATCCGTTCCATAGGAATATTTGTAGGTATTTGCTTCTCATCTTTCAAAATATGATCAAATGTCTCCATTTACTTCAAATTTAGCAGATTATTTATAGGATAAGGTGGAATCATTATCTTCTGATTCACCAACTCATATCATTGCATACCTTTTATAAGCCTTTCTGGGGAGCAAACTTCAAGATATGTAAATCATTAATGAAAATTTACCCAAGGTGAATTAAGGTTATAGAGTTTCTATAATTATTCTGGGATGTTTTGTTTCATTGATAAGAATTATACACTGTATTTAAAAAAAAATCCCATTGACTGATCTCATATCATTACATGACTGAAAACGTCCAGAAAGCAAACTAATAATTACAAAGCCATTGCAAATAATGTGATTTGTAATTTAACTACATTCTAAAAGGCCACATTGAACTCCTCTAATTTCCCTGTATAAGATATTCTAAATTTACCAGTGCGTACATAAATCTAATCTAGGCTTAACCTTAACTTTTGTGTATCTGATGCAGCAAATTCTTTTCTTAAAAATAACAAAAATCTACACTGTATTCTCTTGGAAAACTAACAATGGCATTGTTCTCCTCAAAACTTTGAATCTTTATTATAATAATGCAAAATTTTAAACATTGCTACAATTGGATCAATACAGAAGAGCTTAACGATAATAAGGAAAATGTCTAATTACGTGGTCATTTGCTCCTCCAGATTGTTGAGAGGTGTACCGCTGCCATTACCTAGATCACCACAAAACAAACACATACCATTATGTCTCTTTGTTCGCCATTAAAAATAAGCATATAAAAATGAAAACTTGTGTCACTTAACAACTTACACAAAAATAGGTCAAACTGATTCAGTTTTAATTGTGTGCAAGAATCATGGCACCCATTCAAATCCTTCACTGCTGGCCAGGTGCAACCACACACACGCTCAATTCAATGAAGCTTATTTGCAAGAAGAAACCCACATTTATTAAGAAGCAGTCTGTCTGTCAGCAGGAATATTGGCATCCTTGAATTAAAGTACTTTCTGAAATATCACTCCAAGAGGACAGAGAGAAAAATCTTTTCTAGGGTCTCTGTCCTGATAAATAAATATCAGTGCATACTTGACACTAAAGCACTTAGTACTTAAAAGCTAACACTGCATTTCTCCTGTTTTTATTTTTATTTAAAAATATAAAATATAAACAATAGTGTAATAAATACTAGTGAGCTCATCATGCAGTATTAGCAAATGTTAAAATTTTTATGGGTACATTAAAACTTGAACACCTCCCCAACAGACACACATAATAACCACGATTCAATATTTTGGTGTGTATTTTTTCAGATTTTCTTTTCTGTATGCATGCATACACACACAAAAACACATAGCACTTATTTTAAAAAATAGAATCAGGGCCGGCCCCGTGGCTTAGCGGTTAAATGCACGCGCTCTGCTACTGGCGGCCTAGGTTCAGATCCTGGGTGCGCACCGATGCACCGCTTCTCCGGCCATGCTGAGGCCGTGTCCCACATACAGCAACTAGAAGGATGTGCAACTATGACATACAACTATCTACTGGGGCTTTGGGGAAAAAAAAAGGAGGAGGATTGGCAATAGATGTTAGCTCAGAGCCGGTCTTCCTCAGCAAAAAGAGGAGGATTAGCATGGATGTTAGCTCAGGGCTGATCTTCCTCAAAAAAAAAAAAAAAAAAAAAAAAATAGAATCACAGCCCACATTCAGTGGCCAATTTTCCATGTCAGTGTGTGTGTATATATGTGTATCTATTTTTTCAAAATTGCATCTATTTCAGTTGTTTCCAATATATTACTGTTACAAGCAATACTGCATTAAACATACCTTTACACATATATTAGATATGAATATATGGTAAATATTTTTATAGGATAAATTTCATAATCAAGATTGCCAGATCATCAGGGAAGGCACACTTTAAGTCTTGTAGTCACTTCAAAAGTTTTGTTATAATACGAGAGGGCCTAGTTCAGAGGAGTCTGATTTTGACAGGTGTGGGAAAGAGGAAAAGTTTTTCTGACAAAAGGAACAACAAGGATGGGCAAAAGTCCACGGCATGTTTGAACAGTGAGTAAGCTACTTTGACTGGGGTGTGTGGTGTATTGTGTGGATGGGAGGAGGCAGGTATGTGGCTGGAAAGTTAATCTGGGCCCCACAGGTAGGGTGTATAAAAACTAGTAGTCATTCAGTGCTTTTGAGCAGAAAAGGACATAATTAGATAAATGGTCTAGGATGACTTAGCTGCCAGCTGGAATAGGCAGAGACTGAGAAACTTGAACTACTGCAATTATGCAAGGAAAGAGGGTCTAAACGAGAATAGAAAAGAAGAAAGTACCCTAAGATTTAGAGAGGGAGAAGTTACAGGCCCTAGCAACTCATGGCACAGAAGTTGAGACAGTGAAAATAAAAACCGATCAAGACCTCAAGTCGAAGCATCTGGAGAATGATGGTGTCATGGTAGGGAATCAGAAGTCAGCAAAAAGAGCAGGTCTGGTCAAATGTGAGAAGATTATTAGTTCAGTTTTGAAGGTTTTTATTCTGTGGTGCTTGGGACATTCAGTTGAAGAGGTCCGATTATCCCAGATGTCCAAGATACCACTGTCTCCTCTTCCGGCTTCCAGAACCTCATTCTCCTGGTTCTTCCACCACTCTGATCTCTCTTTCAGTCTCATTCACTGGTTCCTCATGCTCTCCCTCCTCCCTACATGCCAGTGTTTCCCAGAATCCCATGCACACTCTCAGGGTGACCCCAGCTACTCCCACAGCCTCAGTGACTCCCATATCTGCACTGGAGCTATTCAAACCCTCTCCTTCCTCATGGTCAATGCCCTGATTCAGCTCCCCATCATCTCTTCCTTCTACTCTAACAAGAGCCTCCTAACTGATCTTTCTACTCCAAGCAGGTCTTCATATAATCACCAGATTTTATCTTTGGAAACAAAAATATGATCATCTTGCTCCCATTAATAAACTTTGGTGACAATCTACTGCATAAAGGATAAAGTCCAAGATCCATAATATGTCATATTGGTCCCTTCACAATCCTGCCACAAGACACACAAGCCAGGATAACACTTTTGAAATGTCAACCAACGATTTTCCAGATGTTCTCTTAACCCCACACCTTTCTCCTCATTCCAGTAGCTAGGGCACTGTGCAGTCACTGTCTGGAGGGAGGGCTGCTGCAGCATAAAAGAAAATGGTGCCTAAGTTTCTTCTTGGCTTTTGTGTTCTTGAAGCCTTTGCCCTTGGGGGCTGGAGAGGAAACTAAGCATAAAGAACATTTTGCTTAAATTTCATGAGACTAAGCTCCACCCTTGTACACTAAAAATGTTTTCCACCTACTGAGAAGAGATGCAATAGAGAACTGATGACAGCTTTCTTCCTCCAAGCCTGTATTCACACTCCTCTCTCTATCTGGAATACATTTTACCACAATTTCCTTCTTGGAAAAGACTCTTCTTCCATGAGTGACCTCAAATGTGACCTCCTCTCAAATGGCTTACCCCGAGCAGAGTGATCCAGCTTCCTAGAGAATTCCACAGTAATTGACACACAATTCAATTCACTAACTCAAAGCTAGACTAGAAGTATGATGGTTTATATCTATCTCCGCCTCCCACTCCCACTGGTGTCAGCTCCTAGAGAACTGGACTATGTCTTACTTATCTTTCTATACTCAGTGCACAGCCTGCTCCATCTGCTGTAACCTAGCTTGTCCCAAAGATTTACAAGTGGCTTCACAGAGCCACCACACATGCAGACCATTTATCAAAATATTCCATCCAATCATTCTCCTATTTTGTATGCAAGTGTCTCACATATCATAAGATTACAAAGAGATACAGTAGACCACTACCTTACTACCCAAGCAAGACTGCAAAGAAACCTACAACTAGACAGTGCCCACCACCCTGTCTAAAGACTCCATATCATTTAAGAATCACATTACATTACACTTCTATCTGACCCTAATACCTCAGAATGTTTAGTAATTTTACCTACTGAACACTTAAGAATGGTATGAACAAAAAGTATGTGGCATAAATACATTTGTGATTTCCTAACTGGTAAAATGAGATTATATCATAAAGTTGGTTTTCAAACCATTTTCC